CGAATAACATAATTCTCACTCTCACGGTGGCTGGCGACATGACTCTATTAAGGGAGGAGTAAAAAGTTTGATTAATCACCGAACTTTGCCCAACGTCGCATTGTAGTCACTGAACTTTCGTTTGCTGCTCAACAGTCACTGAACTTACAAACAAACCACTCCATCCATCACCCAACAGTCCGGCCGTTTAAACCCGTCCCACGTGATTATCATAAAAGCCCTCAAATTTTATGGGATTTTATCTGAACTCACGAAAATTAGGGTGGAATTAAGAAGAATTCCACAAGAAATCCAAGACCCAGAACTAAAATTATCAGAAATCGTGCTTATATTCAAGAAATCAAAAGCTTCTGGGATCTCCTCATTAATCAACCTGCACACTGCATTAAGAGCCGCACAAACCACCAAATAATTATCGCACAATCAGTTTGGTGTTGCTGTGGAGGCGACGAAGATCTGCCACTCGACAAGTGTGGAAGAATCGATTTGGAGGTGGGTGTTGAAGGAAATCGATCTAGGGTTTCGATTTGCAATTGGGGATTTGAGACTTTTGTTTTTTAATTAATTGTGAGGATCGTGTTTTTTCAGTTGAAATGGTGTCCACCATGGCTGAGTTTCACGCCGTCGATTGCCACATCGACTACCGTCAAGCCACGTGAGGGTGGTTCTAACGGCTGGGCACATGGGTGATGGATGGAGTGATTTGTTTGTAAGTTTAGTGACTGTTGAGCAGCAAACGAAAGTTCAGCGTTGTTGACTACAACGTGACGTTGGGCAAAGTTCGGTGATTAATCAAACTTTTTACTCATCTTCGTTCCCATTTTGTCTGAAATGGATTTAGATGGTGGATTTACAATGTGAAATGGGCTTAGAAGTGGATTTGCAAATGGGGCATACGCACAAAATTGGGGAATGGGTTTAGAAATAGGTGTGGATGGACTCGATGTGATATTTTTTTCATTTTTTGTACTATTTTTTCATTTAGACCATGTTTGGTACACATT